AGAGGAGGGACTAGTGGGACCTCTAGAGTGGCAGCCGATATCTTCTCAGCCTAACCACAGAATTAGAGACCAAATTTTGAATTTCTCAATGTTCATTCTCAATGTTCATTATAGCACTTGGAAAAGGGTAAATAATAGGATTGCTCATATTTGACACAAAACAGTTTTTATACATATTTTCAAATGATCTTAATTTCTTCACAATCTATATACTCATTGTAAATGGGAAGGATGCTTTCTTAAATTTGAATCTTCCATCAATAAAAACTTTGTTTAGTTTTCATAATTTTACTTTTGAAAGTTTAATTTTTTGTTATTTAACTCTGTCTTTAAACTGCATTTTATATAACATTCACTTTAGTAGTTAATATTAAAACTTTGCACTTTACTTTTACTTTTATACTTTTAAATTATAAAATAATTTTTAAAATTTACTTATAGGTTTTTCCAACTTCCCTATGGGATTGATATCTACGACTCAATTAGAGCCCTTTATTACTTGAGCAATACGTATACTTGCGTTGATTTTAAATGGGATTTGATAGTTTAAAAAGAGTTTTAAAGATAAATTATTTTCAAAAAAGGTATTTTTATTGGGATTATATTACATATTTATTGTTATATTTGTCATGTGTATTTTGTAAAATTGAAAAATATTTAGAAAATTTACACACTAAATCTACTCTCATTACCCTCCTGAATCATTATCTATCACAATGGATTTTAACATCGCAAATTGTCAGTTTGCAAAGTAAATTATGGACCGGTGAAAATACCATCACATTAATAAAATAAGAGAATTTCTAAGAAAATCTAAATTCATAAACATGCATCCATTACGTTGTAAGAGAAAATTATACTGAAGATAATGGCATAAGCCCTAAAATAATTGATTTAATTATGTAATAAATTATGTGTCAACAAGGACCATATGTCTACCTACCCTCTTCCAAATGTTTAGGTAAGCTTAGTAATCTATTAGTTTCACACAACTAGCTGTCACCTAGAAGATCCTAATAGAAACGATCATGAATTATATTTCTCTAAAAGTTGCATTACCGCCTAAACAATTTCATTATAACTAACCGGACAATGTGAGTGCACTCAAGTTGCAAGATCACCACTCTCCCAATTCTTATTTCAACTTACAATAGATATTAACATAACCTATTGCCACTTTAGTTATGTCAAAGAAGCAAAGAATATTATACTCATCACATAGAAATAAAAATTATTCTATCTTAAAACAAAATTTCCAACTCTTGCCACTACTTCATATGAAAAGAAAAGAGCAGAAAAAACTAATCACGAAGTATGGATAAAAAAATTGAAGACTTCATTAAATCAAAGAAACTCTACTGCAAGGTGTTTACAACAATTATAAAATAACGATGAACATAATACTTTGCATTTTTACTTTAAAAGAAAGATGAAAGCCCCCGAACAAAATCTCCAACTCATCCATACAATGCTCATACATATCCTTACACATATCTGTAAGAATCCCTCACCAATCTCTCTAGAAAAGGTAGAGAAATACATCTCCTCTCTTTCTCTCTCTCTCTCTCTCTCACACACACACACACACACACACAACTCTTTGAAGAGGCACGCCGAACCCCCATTCCAAGCCTCCAAAACTCCTCTATAACCCTTCTGAAAGAGATGTAAACCCCCGCTTTTAAAGAAAGTCCAAAAACTTCATAATTTCAAGAGAAGCACCTCTTCACTCCAATAGACACACCTTTTCACTCCAAGAGCTGTTCTAAGTGTCTAGATTCATTTAATAACTCCATGGGGCGTGTATGAATGTCCAGAACCTTCTAGAATAGTATGAAACTGTCCAAACCAACCCAAACTAACTTTGAGCCATTTATGGCCCTTAGGCAACAGAATGTGGCACCCTGGTGCTAGAATTAGGACGCCATCCTACTGGTAGCACCACCTTTTTGCTCTGTTTTGCTTCGGTTCCCCCTATTTTCTCCTCCCCCTTTCCCCCCTCCTCTTCCTCCCCCCCCCCCCCCCCCCGTTTTAGCTTTAATCCACTTCAAGTTTTATACTTGCAAGATAAAGATGAAAAAAACATTTCATTAAGGCGTAATTTCATTCAAAACTATGTGATACATGTAAAGAAAATTAAGCATATAAAGACATATCAAAAAGTGTCAGATCAAAATTTTCTTCCTTATACGATTTAACTCCAACTTGCACCATTGTTGGTCCATTTTCTCCCAAACAACACTTCTTGTATCTGGAACCAAAACATGCAAAACATCTTCCATTAAAGTACAATATCATTAAAAATGAGTGTAAAATGTATGTAAAAAAGTAGCACAATTTTAAGCGTGTCATTATTCATTGGTGATATGATGACGATTGTTTCATTGTAGGGGTTCCTCTACCATAGAAGATTCGTGTCTGTAAATACAATTATGAATTGGTTACATCTTTACAGAATGATAGAGCATACCTCTCTCAAACACTGTCTCTCCCTACTACGTTGACCTCATAGGCCCATATAGGTCCTTTTGAGGTCTCTCCTATTGCAGCCTTGCACTACCACTGCATATTTGCATCAACTACAACAATTTTATTTTAGATTTCCAATGTGGTTGAACTCCTTAGTCAGGTTTCAGATGAAGGCATTCCTTCGTATTGTGGCCATGGTCACGATGGAACTGATAGGACCTCTTTGGATCTCGTAAGGCTTGGGCCACCTTCAATAGCAAGTCCAGTTTGAAGTGTTCTTTGTTATAGATGGTCTGAACTAATTTTTCCATTGACACATTTAGTGATGTAAAACCTTACATTTCCATGTGGACATGCGGTCATTCATAATATATTTGGTCATTATTCTCTCGGTCGTTCCCTTACTGATATCAGTACCGAGTGTTAATTTTATTGGTGAGTGAAAAAGGACTGATTGTCCTTTGCCTTCTGCAGTTCCCTCATTCTTTCTGCTTCTTTCAGGAATGGTTGGATTACTCCAACTTACCCTTTGGAGAGTCCCAAAGATCTTCCTCAATTAGTATGTGCTCCTTTTCTATCTCCAGCACTTTTGTAAAAATAGCAGGTTTGAATAGATTTTAGTCATAGCTAAACTGCTCACTTCAGACTCCTTGGTTTATGTCTTTTCTAGCTATATCAGGCTTCACACACTAACTTTAAACATCTCGTTCTGGAAGCGGGTGATGTAGCCTCACACACACTCATTTTATCCCTGCTTGAGGTTGAGGACAGAGTTCAAGTGTTTCTTCGACTTTTGCATGTTTTCGAAGTATGAAACAAAAAGTCTTTTAACCTCATAGTTACTTGACATGGTTGCAATCAGAGACCATTGAATAACTAAAGGGCCGACTCATATAGGACTGCTGGATGATTCAAATGACGCTACGTGGTTGATCGGGTCAGTCCTTCAGCTATATGAATCTATGCGAGGGATTCTTAGCTTCGACGATGGCATCGCTTCTTTAATATAGCAGATAAAGCCTCCTCTTGTGAGCGGTCAAAAAAGCACTTGCATCTACAGTTTCCATCGCATGTTTGCTTATGCACTTACGATTGTATCGGTGTTCTAGGGCTCGCATTACCTCTGTCTGTTAGTTGTTGACATAGTTATATAGGATAAGTGGGTCCTCTGGTGGGGCCCCTTGAGGATGGACACATTGAGGTTCTACCTCCAAACAGGGTGGATGGTGGTTGTTCCCCTGAGTGATTGTTGCATGAAGGATCTCGAATTTCTCCATGAGGTTTATGAGCTTGTAGGCCTTGGACCTGTGCGTGGATGTCTGATTTTGTAGCTTCTCTATTGGGATCCATGCGTTCTATCTCTCTTTGAGAAGTTTTTCATTTCCACTTTCATCTGTGGCATATCCACACTTACAACACCACCTTTTAAGAAGTTGGACAGTAAATTGTCCTTGGTGAACACTTCTCAAGAGTTTAGGATTGAGGGAAGGAAGGAAGAAAGAAAAATCAAGTATGGAGCTTCTGTAGAGACAATCGGTCAAGGTTGCTTTATTCGTATTTTTGTCTCCTATTTATAAAGAAGTTTTTTGTATAATTACAAAATGAAGGGAACAGTTATAAAAATTTCTCTTAATACAATTGATTTTCTAGTTAATCATATGGATTTCATATAATTTGTGTATTACAATTTGAATTTTGATATGAAAGTAACCTGGCTAGTTGACTTGCTTGAATTCAATTGACTGAGATGACGGGCCGAGTGGCGACCGCGTCATTGGTTGGTCAGCCGAGGCACATAGTTGAGTGTCAAGCTCATTCTTCTTGGTAAAAGTGGGCCGATTGATTATCCGAGATTAAGAATTCTCCACTTGCACCGCGGTCGGTCCAGTCTATCGGTTTGAATCTATTGCTATGGTGTGTTGGTCGATTCTTGACCAAGTGTTTGGCAGTAGGGCATAAGATTCCTTGGTTGTTTGGTTATCTTTTGGGCAGTTTGAATGTTTTGAGACTTGTGCTGACAGTTGTGTTGTATACAACAACTATTAGTTTGTTAAATTTTATATTTCAATTATCATAAAAAAGGAATATTTACTCACATACCATTCAATTCCTATTTATGTACATATATCTAAAACGTAAGTTTTAGTTTTACATGTCATATTATTTACATATTAAAATCTCTAGTTTTTTAAAATGATAAAATAATAATATTTTTTATGTGATATAAATTATTTGGAGGATGAAAATATAAAAGAATAATGTTTAGATAGTATATATGTTAATACATATGAATTAAGTGTTACGTATGTGAATGAGCCGAAAAATTGTTTCTAATTGTCAAAATGTTGAAATAAAAATGGAATCACGACGTTTCAAAACCTCTTCCTCAACCTAACTCGTGTGCCTCGTTAAATAAACGAAGAGGTGCCTGTCACATCATTCAACGTAAATTCACAAAACATTTTCTTCCACGCAATTAAGACATTCATGAAAAATCTAATGAAAAATCTAAAGCAAAAATGAGTGGCTAATATTCTCTCACAAAATCAAACCACAAACCAACTACAATAATATATTGTTGGCTTCACCCTTCCTAGAGACACTGTATGGCTGATCAGAACCCTTCAACATATAAGATAATTTTCAATTCCAGCAAATCAAAACCAATTTATCGATCTTAAACCATTATAATTGACCATTAAAGCAATAGAATAAGAGAAATTATTAAGATAAAAAATATTCGTACTAGCTGTGTACAATTTCTTTGATAAAGAGCACGGTTAGTACATAATTATATACCATGCACCTAATAACTTTCTAATGAAATAAACTAAGAATATTCACAATATCTGAGGCTTAGTCGAACCAAAACCTGCTCATATTCCAGCATTTATAAAAGGAAAAAATCATCTTGATCAAGAACTGGAGCGAATTTGGTGAAGCCATTGTAAGCTGGCTCATAAGCAGAAATCCATGGATTGGTGAAGCATCCAGAAGCCATAATCTGGGGATTAACACAGCTGTTGTTTAAATTCAAGTATTGGAGGATATCATTAAGGGAATTCAGCCACGAGGTGAGCTCAATCACCTGCGTCCTGAGAACAGAATTCTCACTCTCCAGAACCAGATTGTTCTGTGCGTAGAGATTAACAGAGGTTCTGATCAAGCCATTTTTTTCTCTCAACTGGCTTATCTCTGTCATGAGATCTTTCAGGTAATTATCTTTCCTCAGCCGAGAACGCCTTGCAGACTCTCTGTTAGAGAGCATTCTCTTCCTCTTCTTCTGGTCCATCACAGCCTGGAGATCCGTGCCCATACCAGAATTTGTGAGCAGGCTGGATGAACCAGAAGAACCACCACTGGATGAAGCCATGAAGATTATTTCTTTCTTGTTATTTATATGCGATATGTTTACAATGAGCTTATTATATCGAATAAAGCTGGTGATTTATTTATGCAAAAAACTAGAAAATCATTTAGCACATTGGGCACAGTTGGTTGAAGATCAAAACAACCTCATGAAAAAACATAGAACCAGTAAAGGAAGACGACAGAGAATGATTGAACCAGATGAATCCTGCGCTGTATGGTAGAATTTATCATAAACTCTGAGAGAAATATCTCACACAGGATAGGCGGCATCAATCAGGAAAAGCAAGAGGATGCGATGCAGCATGTGAACTGAAGAGAAAATCTAAAAAATAACGAAGGTAGGAGGAGCACTCAGTGCGGAATCTCGAGAACAGGAGAGGAACATGTGATTTTCAGCAAAATCCGACTCCAAATAAACAAATTTGAGTAGCAGCAGGTTCGCTAGTTATCAGTACTAGACTTCTGGCTTTTAGTTACAGAAACTAAAGAGAAAAATCGAAGAAGGAAGGGAGGAGGAGCAGAACTTCAACCCTTGGAGGAAACCTTAGTAGGGAAGGAGATGAGAAGGGAAAGGGGAATTGAGGATTGAGAAAAGCTGCAATTTATAGAACAAAAAAAAGAGAGAAAAGATGGGGGGGAAAAAAAGATAAAGAAAAAGAATAAAAGTTGTTTGAGTGGGAAGCATTGGAATCTCCAAGTGGCTGGTGACTGAGGGAATTCAGTGTTGCATGTGGGTTGATATGGAATCGCTTTTTATGCTAACTACTGTCCAAGCAAATAGTTATGTAGGACCAGAGTTAACTAAACTGTGGTTAAGAGATCAGGCAATTACCTTGTCAGTTCATCTATTCTATTTTTATTTTTTATTTTTGGAATATGTCGTCATTTTGGAGTTAGCTGCTTTGTTTAGATGTTAGAAATTTTTTTGATATTGCTCTATAATTTTGATTTTGGTTCAACTTCTCTAGAATCTACTGCATTGACTGGCCTCCGATTCCTGTTACTAAACTATATTTTTGTCATTATAAAAAATTGCAACTTATCTAATAAAGAGGTTCCCTCTAACAACACTAAAAATAATTCACTTTTTCAATTCTTACACAAAACAAAACCTGAATAGCAATTTAGAACCTTTGGTTGTTTATATGTTCTCTAGCAATAGCATAACATTCCACACTAGCTCTCTCCAATGGCCCCACAATGTATATCCTTTGGATATAAAGAACACAAGAGCTACAAGTATTTTGATATCTAGACATAAATCTCTTTACTCAGACATGTTATTTTTATTGAAGATTATTTTTCCTACATACAATCCTCTCACCACCAGGCCATAATAGGTCATCACACGTAGAGTATCATGTTACCACCATCACTATTTATAACCACATCAATTTTTCGTGCCAAACACTACCTCCATTCCCACTAATCAATTTCACCCTTCCTACATCCGACCACATTCTCAGCAAATGACTCACACTTTCAATTAAAATACCTTATATTGAGAATGAGAGCATACAAAATCAATCATTAGACACATCACAATTACAATCTATACATCAATGTTGACCTCTCTTTTGGTTGAGGTCTAGTTTCTTCCTTAGAAGTTCTCTTTTGTAGCCTAGGATCTAGCCATAAGAATTTCTTGTTGACTATTTCTAGAGGACTAGTAAAAGAACCCTCACCATTAGAAATTCTAAAAAAACTCTTCTTTGCTCATCTTGAAGTTCCACATGTTAGTTCTAACCTCTAGTACTTAGTAGGTACGACCAATATGCGGGAGCTTAAGAAGAGTCCCCATAGGACTATTTGGCCTTAGGGTTAGCTCTGGTGGTGTGGTCTTGGTCTGTCTTGCACACACTCACTTGATACCCCTCACCTTCACTCACAACCTAAACCCTTAACCAAACATGTCTAGCTTGATCCCTTATTCTTCTAGAAACTCGTGTGGGTGGCCCCTAAACCATTAGCCCTAGGCTCGGGTTTGGCTAAGACCAGCACATGGAGGATCCATAATGATAGTTCCCTTGTACTCATGTCTCAAAATAGGTTAATTTTATGATTAGCATCCTTAGTTGATCTCCTCCTACCCAAATACCCAATTTCACCTTTTGCCCCCCAAACTTTCTCAAAATTACCAAACCAGCCAATTTTGTCCAAAAATCATCTAAAACTCTTTTAACCAACCCAATTGCCCAAAACACTCCAAAATTTTCAAAATTCTCAAAATACCTTAACTTTTCTAAAATTACCAAAATGCCCTTGGTGTCCCAAATTTTCCTAAAACCTCCAAAAATCATTTCAAATACTTCCAAAACCAAACTTGACCACTCATGAAGTCCAAAATGCCACACATAACCCCATTTCAAGCCCCAAACTTTCCTCTCTTTTATTAAAGGTTGCCTCCCTCCAAAAAGAATTTAAATTCCCCTTCAAAATTTTATCCAAAAGTCAACTCTTTTGAATTCAAAAGACATGTCCATTGATTCATGAAACATATCCCTTCATAAAAGAACCTTCCAAAGTGTCTAGATGCATTAGATTACTCGAAGAGGTGTCTAGAACAAGTGTCCCTTTGACAATTCAAGCAAAATTTGTCTTGAACAGCTTAATTCCACAAAAAGTCGTCCCTGGCGCATCTGGAGCCAAATGTGGCTCATCATCCGCTAACTCTTTGTCAAACAATGCATCTGGCACCAATCTGGAGCATCATGCACCAACCTAGCGCATCATGCATCAAAATTTGAAAATTCGTTGTTTTGGCTTCAAATTTTGTCTTTTAGCTACTTTTGCTCCAAATGCCTAAAGTTGATATACCTACAATAAAAACATGAAGATAGCCTTCTTTAAAGTGCAATATCACAAAAAAATAAGTATAAAATATAAATTGAAAAATACATATTATTTTTGTGTATCAGAGAGATAATATGAATGAACTTTATCGATGCCTTACGGATGAAGATGCAAATTGGGAGGCCAGAGATGATGGAAATGCAAGTTTTTTGTCATCATTATTAAATCTTGCTTCTAACGCATGAAACTATTTTATTGCATAGAAATTACTTTCTACTATGAAAATCAGTAAGGTAACTAAGGAGAGTGCTATTTTGAATTACTATATTCAAACTGGAAAATTTGTTGACATTGGAGCAATCATTGTGAAATCGATTTTGGGTTTGATTGTTAATGGATCTGCAACTGGACTTGGACCAACTGAACTCAGACATCCATCCACCTATTTTCCTACTATGCAGTCAATCCAGGTACCTTTTTAGAGTTGGGAGAAAGTGTTTCTTCCTTGGAAGTTGATAGATCTAGAAGTCTATTGCAATTGTATTGAAATGGGAGATGATAATGATATGAATGTACGATGGATCAAGCATCCCAATATTCATCACCAATTCAACCTTACTTTAGTTTGAACACGCTTTTGAAAAGGATCAAGAAGATAGAAAAAGAGGTGCAGAATCTTATGCATGAAATTGAGAATGTTTCTGAAATGTTGGATTGAAATGTTGGATCACTATGTTGGATCACTTGGATTGGAGACTCAAAGAACATTTTGAGCATACTCATTGTATTGAAGATGTTATGGTACGTATGTTTAAGAAACATGCTTGGATTTGGGAGGATTTGACTGATGAGTTTGCTTATCGACCCTTCTATAACTATCGACCCTTCTAAAACTTGTATGTGCACTACCATTCTATGGGAGACGAGATATCCTGAAGGACAAGAGCGAAGAAGATGTTTGAACTTACTTAATGCACGGAATGTTTTTTTTAGTACTGCTTGTTTTAATTGTTTGTTATGTTGGATTGCATTTACATTTATTGTTGAACTCTATCTATATATATGTATGTATAAGTGAGTTTTGTGTTGTTTGTGAAAGATTGATGTTAGATTCATGTTTAATCATGCTTATAAAGGTTCATTTAAGTTAATTATAGGTAGACGTAAAGCGGTATGAAGTAGATTTTCACAGACAACAAAATCTGGAAAAAATAAATGTGTTGGTGCAAGATGCGCAGATCGGCGCATGATGCGCCGGTTTAGAGAGAGTTGGTGCATGATGTGCCAGATTTGGCGAAAGATGCGCCAATATCCCGAAAACACCAGATTACCTAAAAAATTGTGAAATCACACAGTAAAACTCCATTTTTACTGCTTGGGTCGTCTCCTACCTCTCCTCTAAACCACCTCTAAACCTTGACCTAGAGCTTCACATTGAGCGCGATAGAGAAGATTTTGGAGGCTAAAAATAATAGATTTCATATTCTCTTAGTAAGAGCTTCACTTTAACTTAAAAAATTTTTATTTTTACGATGTATTTTTCCTACATTTTAGAAAATCTGAAATTTGGGATTTTTGATGAAAAAGCTTGAAGAAAACTCAAAGTGAAAATTTTCTTACCAAATAATCTTACTTGGGGAGTTAGATTTTTTATTTTGTAATTTAATTATTATTTATTTGGGTTTTAGTAGAATTTCAAATGGCTCCACAAGTGAAGAGAGGAAGGTCTTCAGATGATTTTGATGCATGAAGATTTGTTAATTTAAATGCCCAACACAGTTATAACACTCAAATAGAATCAAGAAAACATATCCAGAAGCGGGTATTTGCTAACCCATGTGGGGAGATCAAGAGGTTAATTATCGCTATAAATTGGGAATGATTTTGCTACTTCACTGCAGTAGTGATTGTACCAATGGTTCAGGAGTTTTATTCCAACTTAAGATTCACTGCTGATGATCACATCCTTGTCATCCTTGTGAGAGCACATCCTTGTGAGAGGTAAGCAAGTTGAATTTACTTTAGAAAAGATCAATGTTTTTATGGGCTAAGGAATGTATTTCATGATGAATACGCTGGATTCGTGATGACTGATTCATCATTGGATGAAGTGATTACCTATCTGACTGATGGATGAGGATAATGAAGAATTAAAAATAATAAGATAGTTAACTTCTTTACTTCCATGGTTATTATTCAGTCAAATGTATGGCAGCACTTCATCTCATATAATGCTTTAAAGCCTTTATGTATTTCTAAGAAGTTAGCACATGTTGTATACCAGAGCCGAGTTTCATAGTGAGAAATTCTCTACATTTTAGTTTTTAGTTTCATGCATTTACTATTTTC